CCGACGACAAGTTGTGTTCTAGAAGCTCACAGCAAATGGTAAGTTCCTCAAAGGCATCAAAGGCACGCTCCGCGATATGGTATAGAAGTTGAAAATGTGGCACCGGGAGGGTAGTGTGGTCCGCGACGAACAACCTGTACCGGTTTCGCGGCAAAAAATGTAAGGGAGGGGCGCTATAACGTTATATAGGTTCAGTGGCGCCTCCTTTTTCCAGCTTCCAGACTGCGCCTCCAGCCTCCAGACTCCACCTTCAAAAGCAGCCTTACTGTGATAAAAGGCTGTCGGACGAAAAGTCATGAGAATCGTCACTTACGGTCGTGGAAATCTTATAGGGTATCTGATGTGCGGATGAGGGAGTGGTATTAGAGATGGAGTCATTGGACACGCACGAATCGGGATCGTAATGGGAAGCTTCTTGAGGCGCTGGCATTTTTTGTGACTTTTTTTCTTCACTATCGACTTACTCAGCACCCTGTCGTCCATGTGCAAACCAGTAATCTACTATCTGTGATGGGCAGTCATCGCGGGCTTAGCCTTCAAAGAAGATTCAAAATCGGAGCGCACTTGAAGAACTACGTACCTGGAGCTTCACAACCCTGTTTTCTCTCCCTCAGAAGAGCTCCACTTTCAGAAAAGGTGTAGCTGTTCGGAAGGGTTTTGCCGGAGCACCTGCCTGTTTTTGAAAAGATATCGCCAAACAGCTTGCCCCAGTGCAACTGAGAAAACGCGTCTTGAACTTTCGCGCGCATCTCTGAATCTCGAAAATTTGCAGTCCCAGTGTCCCGTTTGATATCACCTACATTCTTACCAAGTGTTTTTTTTGTGGAGAGGTGGGAGGGGAGGCGCAGCGAGCTTCGCCTTTGGAGGAGGGATTTAGCGGACTTTCATCGAAGCGTTAATGGCATGCCAACAGTGAAGATGTACCACATGTATCGTTCGTCCTGAATTTGTCATAGATCCGCAGTTTGATCCGTGAAAGGCGCGACCCGATCACAACGAGCCACGGCACCGCCCAATGATCATAGCAACACCCAACCTCCATTTCGAGAGGTATCTTGGTGGTGTGGTAGTCGCTACAAGTTCTCTCAACTTCTAGGTGATAAAGACGAAGAGCTGGCAACAAGGGAGAATT